TCTCTCTCTCTCTCTCTCTCTCTCTCTCTCTCTCTCTCTCTCTCTCTTTCTTTTGGCTCATTCGGTTCGTTCGAGCTTTTCATCGCGGCATAGTAAAAGCATCGCTTGAAGGACTTTAAGTTAAAAATGAGCGCTTTGCAATTTACGATAGCACATCAAGCATTTGGCTTATCAAGATTTTCCCTTTGTACAATCATAAAAAATGCAAACTAAAGTACGCAACACAGGCGGATAAACGTGTAAGCGGTCGGTGTATGGTGTTTTTTTTATAGTCGTTGAACTTTCGAGCGAGAAAGAGAAAGAGAAAGAACGGATCTTAAGAGAGTTATTAGAAGTAAGATTAAGGCCTCAGTGGGCTCGAGTGAAATGATTTTATGAATGATTTGCACAATTCACTAAGAGATGATTCGTTTGGGTTTCATTGATTTTGGTCGGTATATATGTGGCGTATGAATAAAAGCTGCGTGAAATACTGCAACCAAGGTCAACCACAACTTGGTTATACAGCTGAATCGTCCGATAAAAAATCATAACCATGCAGCGAATGAGAGATAGAGAAGTGGTGGGATACAGACAGAGAAAGTACGATCTATTGCTCGATGATGGACCGTATCGTTTGATTTGCGTTTCGTTCAGCATTTGATTTAATATCGTCGCATCAAACTGTAATTCATTAATTCATTATAATATGATGATGGCGTTATTATATGAAATCGAGGGCTCAACGAACTGGCTGACTGGCTTCCATTATAGCTTTTAGCGCGTTGTTGCTAGTCTCTCTTTCACACACACACACATACACGCACACACACATACACACTTAGTCTCTTAGTTTTTTTACGTAAATGTTGTGCGGCTAATTAAACAGTGTTGTGCGTATAAATGACTGAGTACCCTGACTTCATTTTAGCCACATCACTCCATTTCTCATGCCCTATGCTTGCCTTCACTCTCTCATCTCTCTCCATCTCTCCTTCTCTCGCATACAAAGTTGGCTCATATTTTTTTTTCTTTTGGTTCCACATAATCATTTTCGCTGGAAATATAATTCGCCACTGAATTTGGTTAATGTGATGACAAATTCGGAGCACTGAATACGAACCCTGTTTCATGGAAAAAGTTAATGTGTTCAATGCTGCTAATGAAACCACCCTTTCGCTAGCGCATTCGTTTTTTTTTCGCAATTGCAGCGAATGCATCTCATTTTGAGCATAGTTGCGCGCTGCACTTGAAATATGTATATTACGTGTTTGCCCCTTTTATTCCGCAGTCGATCCGAATTCAAATATATGTAAGTACGTAAACGACTCGAATGGCATTTCAACCAAGTTTCATTTCCAGTTAACATTAAAAGTTTCAGATTTGTGTGAGTTTACTTTTTTCCTTTCCCTCATGAACGTGATAATGACACGTTTTGCCTGGAAAATGATTTTGAAATAAATAGACACATTCATTTCGGTGATGTCAGTCAAGGGAATCCTGCAAAATTAATTCACTATTAAATGCGGCGAAAATTGGTTAAAGTCAAAATGGGAGCGTCGTATATTTTTTCTGCGTCAATCGCTGACGAACCGCCATCGTAGCAATAATAATGAGAAGCGAGCACTTTATCGAAAGATTTTTTTTCTCTCTATTGTTGGAGCATTTTTTACAGCTATTCATAGTCCCGCTTTCTCATTGTTGCCTTCATCGTCATCTACGGATTGAAATTCATCATCTTCACATAAAATATAGATATGAATATTGCGCAAACTTGTTTTTGCTCTCCCATCATCATGAGAGCATAAATTCCGGAATGGGTCATTTGGGATCGACAAACCAAAGGATGTCCGACACTAGCCACAACACTATAGTTTTTCGCTCACTTTCCGACACTTTTACCCGAAACGGGAAATGAAAAATCGTGCTCTCAACTTTTATCGTGTCGGTGGTTATATATTTCGTCGGTTTGTTCGTTTTTTTCCTGTCTTCTTCACAGCCGTTGGCTTCATGCAACGCATTTAATGAACACCACATACACACACACACACGCTGTACTCAACGTGAGATCGAGAGAGAGAGAGAGAGAGAGCAAACGGGAAAAAATCTGCGCATAAAATTGTATATTTTCGACTTGGTGTTTGAATATCATTGCCGCATGCGTCGTTATTATTTTTTTGCCTTTTTCCATATGAAATGGGGTAAAATCGAAATTTGCGTGCATGTGTTTTTGCTTTCGGTGGAGGATTAATCGGAAGTGATAAGTATATAAATTACATATTTATGAAATTATCTGTGATTTGACATCATTATTGCGGAAGATGCCGTTGTCGATGTGGAACAAGCAACCCCGACGACGACGACGACGATGACAATGACAACGATAGCGGTACAAATAAATGCCATTTGAGATGAAAAACGAACCGATTATTTCTTCGAAAGTGTGTGTGTATGTAGGAGTGAGAGAAAGCAGTGCGGTGTTTGGAGAAAACCAGCTTGTGTTTGGGTTCTCGTCTTCTTTTTTGTTTAATACACATTTTCAATGACCGTCGAATTGAATTTCCATTCCATGCAACAAGTGGCGTAACAGAGAGCAATGCAAATAACCATCATCGTTTTCAGTCGTTTCTCTCAACGCACACTCGCAATCCCCTTGCATTATATGGCAGATAAATGGGGAAAACAGAGGCGCGCACACACATACCGAGTGTTCAGTAATTGGTTATATCATATTTTGCTTAAAATACGGCGTGTATATTTGTTTGTGTGTAAGAGTCTACGGC